CGTCCTCGCAAAATTAAGCGCCTACGCGTGCGCTACGCCGCTTAATGAGCTGCTCTCCCTAAAATAGTGGAAGACGCGAGCCCATCGCCTCTCGTGCCGGCCAAAATTATGACCTTGTGACGGACGCGAAAAGTGTCACGTCACACAATCTAAATAAAAAAATGTGTTTTGTGTCATTTCAAGTTTGGTTTTTATTTTTGCTAGGAAGTTTTACAGGTATTTCAGTATATTTTTCCATATATGTCTATAAAACATCTATTTAAAAAATAAACGTATATATTGGCCAAGAGTGGTAAATTTATTATTTTATTTATACGCAGTTTCTTGTACATATAAATTTTATGTATACATACATATAAATACAATTTTTAATTAATAAAGAAAAGTCAGAGAACAAACCGGAAAATTTGGACATTTCTTGTACCGTTTACGACGTTATTGAGAGTTGAACGTTGTATTGCCCGAGCGAGAGCGAGACAGAAAGTCATTTCTCTGTCTTTTTTTACTGCCCGATCGCGCCCAAAGTTTCAAGCGCATACGTACACGATCTGAGGTTGTGTGCGTATCCCCTCCATACTACCGCTGCTACCGCATGCTACCAAGTGTTCAGAATCTGGCATCTCTCACGGGCATGATTGAGATTGCTCTGAAGGAGTAGCGCCATTACGAGATGTCCATCTCTTCTTTCTCCTCCGGGACACTACTCTTAGGAGGGGAGGAAGGTGCAGTCCCCTCGCTATTATCTGCCGGGGCATTGGGTTCAGCGGCGAGAGTCCCTTCTGACTGAGTAGACTGGGTGCCACTCTGTTTTGCGGCCTTGGAGGCCCGCTTACTTGTGCCGGGGGCCGGGGCACACGCTCTGCCCCCCAGGCGGTGGTTCGTGGGATGACCAACGTCCGCACACAATGGGCATGTGGGTGCCGACCTGGGACATGTCGACACCTTGTGGCCCCGGTCGCCGCACCGATAGCAGCGACTCCTCCGGTTTTTTTGCGGCGCGGTGTATGGACAATATATCCGTTATCACGTGCCCGCGCCGAAGGCACCTGTGGCACTGGAGAGGTTGTCTCTCCAGCACCTTAACTGGTGCTCTCACTCAGCCCACTCGAATGGCCCTTGCTGAAACGACCTTTTGGGCCGCGGTTAAGGGGCACTGCACCTACATTGTGGACAGTTCACCGGGGGAGGCATGTGCTTGGCCGACCTTTACGTCGGTCGGTCGACAGCCCCCGATGGATGCCACCGCATCCCTCACCTCATTAGGGGAGATTAACTCGTCGAGACCGCGGACCCGTATGTCTACGGTTTTGATAGGCCTCGCGAGTCTTGCTCCTTTTTCCGTGACCAGGGGCAGCATAGCTTCATAGAGCTTCTCTGCCCTGGTCTCGCTGTCTGCATTGGGAACCTCGAGAATTAAGACCCCGGTGAGAGCTCTCCTTGCGCGGAGGTCCGTAATACCGAAGGGCTCTATGGCCACTTTGCTTCGGACATATTGGAGAACATTTCCCAGAAAACCCGTAGCTGCCCCTTCTGGGGCAGAGAGAACCGCCGCTGAGCGGGGCGGCTTCCCCAACTTAAGTTTGGGAGGAGTAGCCGTTTCCGCTCCCGACTGAGTCGGCCCCTTACTCCCTTTAACGCCACCGGATTTAGCCGGGGCAAGAGTTTGAGAGGCCGGCGGTTTCATCTTTTTACGTCTTACCACCTGGGACTACGTGTCCTGCTTGGTGGGAGGAGCAGAAAGCTGGGAGGAAGACAATGGAAGGCCGGATATAGGCTTGGGTGCTTGGGGTGTGGTCTTGACCATTTTCCCGGTCCCCGGCCGTAAACCACCGCCGTCTCCCTTCTTACCCTTCTTCTTCTTCTTCCTTTTCTTCTTCGTCCCCGCGCTGGGGACCGCAACTGCTGTTGAGGCAGAGGGTAGGGATGTCGGCGCGTCGGTTGCTCTAGCCGCAACGGAGCCGCTGCATCCCGCCTCTGCCGCAGCACCATTCTCTGGTCTCTCTTGGGGTACACTCCGCAAGGGAAGACGGGCAAAACACGGCTTGTTTGTAAAATACGGACAGTCTCTCTGTCATCTGCCTGTCCGTCTCCCTGCGGTGGGCCTTAAGTAGGATCTCAATATTTTTGAGACTCGCTGGCTGCGCCGCAGAATGCTCCTTTTCATCCCGCCGAGTGCTTACATCTGGCGGGGAACTTGCCGCCTCATTGCTCTTCTCCCTCTCTCTCCTCGAAAGAGGAGAGAGATCCATTTCCCGATTGGAAATCGGCTCCGGACCTGGGTTCCGGAAGAGTTCCGGTCGGGTCTCGGGCCGTCGCGGCTTAGGCTCCCGCTGCGGAAGCGATGGTGGGTCTTCCGCCGAGAGTGCAGCGGGAGCTCTTAGCTTCGCCAAATCCAGCGTAGCCAACTCCTGCCGCATGTCCCGTAATTCGTCGTGAAGCGCGTCAACTTTGCTCTTCAAGACGATGTTCTCTTGGGAGATGCAATTTCGATTGGGCAGCGTCTCTGTCGAACCTCAAGGAGGCGACCGTCGCGTGCAGCTCGGCGACTTCACCACGGAGCTGCCTGTTCTGTCCTTCCAGCCGCTGCACTTCTCTCTCGGTGTCCATTCAGCTGGCAAGGATTCCCACGGCCTCCTCCATGTTCACCGCTGCCTCCTTGATGTTCTTAATGTACGTGTCCTTCAATCTCTTGGAGGTCACGGCCATCCTAACCACCGACGCCGCCAATTTCCCAGATTGCTGCACAATCTGGGACGTCGGCATATCCCGGACGATGATCTCCGGGATTGGAAGTGAGCCCCGTGGCTTGGAGTGGGGCTTGTACGGGTTGGGAGAAGGGGAGAGGCGCAGGGCCCGACAATCAAGTAGCCATCTTGATGGCATCAAAGTCGTCGGCGAGCTCACGCTCTGCACGTAGCTCCAACTTTCTTTTCTCCTGCTCGTTCAGCTTGGCCTCTGCCAAGCCGACATATTCCCCGCTGGTAGGAGGTCTGCCTCTCCCTCTTTTCCTTTTATCCCCCGGGGTGGGATCTCTTTTTACAGGAAAAGAAGGGAGATTCTGGGGCTTTTGTGCCGGTTGGGCCCTACCTCTGCCCACAGGAACGACTTCGACTTCCATGTCGGAGTCATCCTGTTCGGCAGTGATGTGGAGGCGGCGTCGGGCGGAAGCCTATCGCAACTACGCGAGGGCCTCGGCTGTTGTTCGCTCAGCGACAAGGCAGGATAATGGTTGCTTCTACCGCCTTCACCTTCCGAATCGTCCAAAAACCACAACTTTCCACAAAGGCAACTACTGCGGGACTCGGAACATCTATTTTGCCGTACGACCCGCCGGAATTTTGTGGGGCGAATAACAGGGGAATCAATCCTCTCTTCAACTGGTAGAGTACCACTGATCGTCGCAGGCGCAGTATCTTGCGCCGCCCCTGCGGGGCAGGCGACGCAGAGACCGTCATATGATGACGACGAGAGGGAGCCCAGGACGGTAACTCCCTCACGCCGGCAGCTGAAGGTCCGATCCTCCTGCTGCGGTACGTTACTCTCTCTAATATGCGACATCTCCATGTTGTAATTAAGGTTGGTTTGATTTCAGGGTGTCCTTCACTTAGTACGGTTGTTGTCCAAGACTGACAAGGCCGGACTCCCCGGGTTTGGAGTCAGGGTTTTACTTCCCCTAGTCCAGTGGCCGGCCCGAGAACGCCTCTCGGAGCTGGACACCTCGAATTTTTAGTCAGGGTTTACTCCTCTGGTCCGATTGCGCTGTGGCTGACGAGATCGGACGTCCCCGGATTTGAAGTTAGGGTTTTTTCCCCTATCTCAGTTGCACCGGCAAAAGGTTCTAAGCGAGATTGAGAACCCCCGGTTTTTGTTCGAGGTTTTCCTTCAACTATTTTTCCTCTTAGTACAGGAGCTCCCCGAGAGCCTGTCTGGCATGGGTGACCTTGCCAGGGACTCCAAAAAGTCCCCGCCAGCATAGCCCCTCGGATCAGCGCTCCCCTAAGCTCGGGCACCTCGACAAGGTGGGGGAAAGTCGCCCGAGAACCTAACCTTGTCACCGACAGCCGGAAGCAGAGCAACAGAAAGGAGGATTGCCCGGAGGACCTCGGACGACAGAAGCATACTATTAAGGGCACAGGCAGCTTGGGAACGCGAGAGGAATGTACACCAGTATATAAATTGGGCCAGGCACTTTCTGGCGGTATGATGAACAATCTTCCGATTTAAGGCTAGTTCTTAGAACTATAATTATACTCCGACCAAAGGATATGAATTAATATATAATCGTTCTTTAAATAAAAGAGTTTTAGTTTTTTTAATGTTTAAGCTTTCTTTTAATTGTTAACGAAAGATACTGTAGTTTTTGAATATACTTACCCAAAACAGAACCACCGGCGGATGGACGTCCAATAAGGATAAATTCTTGATTTACGTTCTGTTATGGTATATTTTTATATTAAGCAAAATTTCATATAATCTAAGAATATGGGGTTATATAGGTAAGGATACTTGGATACTTACGTTATTACTTACCGGGTTTGGATCGTGGCGCTGAAAAAGAATAAGGGGTCATTAAGAATTTCTGTTATTGTTAAGTTTTGTTTTACGTCAATATGTAGTTTACATGTGTATACAGGTATACTTACCTGGTCTAAGAAGTAACCCTAAAAAAGAAAAGGTCAGCGATTAAAAAGTTTTGTCACGTGCAAAAGGCGTTCCGAGACTGGTTACTTACACATACACACATATATACAAATATTAATCGCTCACACGCTTAAGGGCAAATACATACACCAGTCACACTACGACACGACACGCGACACATTCAAACAACAATCATCCTTTAAGCCATACATTAACATCCCATACGCACACCAAACACGTTACACACACATAAGTTGTCCATACACACTGTATACAATGCTTAACACACATACTACATTCACTCTACATCTAGACCCCAAACAAATGATTAAGCTCACGCTCACACCAGCCATACAAACATTCACGCACACCTCTTAATCTTAACATTTACTCACACACACATATAAGATCAAAACTCATACATAAGCACACATTCACGCATCAACCACACCAGAGACACACACAGATTTTGTCTATGCCACAATTATTCGTTAAACCACACATTCCAGTCTTACCACACACACACAAACATACCCGCATAAGAGGACATTCATACATCACACATCCCAAAATCACTCCCTAAACACATACACTAAGTTACACACCTTAAGTCACCAGTTTAGTAACTCGTAGAAACGAGCTTTCAACCTCTCGAGTTCTCTTCTTAATTTGAACAAGTTGAGGAACAGCACTAGGTGCACTCTAGGAGATATAGGAAAGCGGGCAAAAAGGAAAAGCAGTTCCTTTCGAGCATTCAACAAGTGAACACGCGAATGCACGACGATCGAGAGAACGTTTTTCTACGAAACGAAATTAATTATTTGCGATAAATATAACATTGTGTGTGTGTACGTAGCGCGGTATAAAGTGCGCGAGTTAATAAAGTCTGTAAAGCATATTTCTATATTGGCAAATATACATATATTGTGCGTAAAAAAAGTGGCATTTATTTAAGTGAACCTGATCCTTGTCTTGGCGTTCCTGAAGAATAATACCGGATCTTCCCTTGGTGTTTGGAGGTATCACATCGACAAAACACCTGGCAATTGTTTGTTCAAGACGCAGACTTGTAAGTACCGGCCATTTTCCTACTAACCCCGGTCACAACCGGGTAGTAGGTATAGTAGAGGGGTTCTAGACCAGGTTTCCAATAGGCGAGTAATGTTCTGTTCTTGTCTATCTAATGACGTTTCGAGCAGTTCGAGCATGCCTTACTGAAAACACTCCATAAGATAGAAAAAGTCAGTCGACAACCGAGGGCACCGCGAGGGGGGAGGGGGAGAGGGGTATAACCGCGCGAGGGAGGGGAGGAGGAAAGGGAGGGGCTAATCGCGTTAAGGAANGGGAGGGGGAAGGAGTGGTCATGTGTGTTCAAGGTCGTTTGGATGATGACGTCATCGCTAAAATATAAAGTGCGCATTAAAATTAATAATTCCAAGAAAAAACCGCAAAGTTCCCGAAAGCGGTTNGCGTTTAAAAAAGAAATAGCGCGCAGTTCGTAAGTACGCAGCAAATGAATAAGAAATTCCGAGAAAAACCGCAATTTCCCGGAAACAAATAATTCCAAGAAAAACCGCAAAGTTCCCGGAAGCGGTTCGCGTTTAAAAATAAATAGCGCGCAGTTGAAATTGCGCAGCAAAAAAATAAAAATTTTTCGAGAAAAACCGTAATTTCCCGGAAGTGAGCCAGTTCTTATCGACGAAGCGATCAGTCACTCCCGGTTGATGACGCATTTCCTACGATAACAGCCGCGTGAAAAACCGTTACGTACTGGATGTGGTGTTTGTAAAACACAATTTCAAACCAAAAGATTGTGAGGAAAGATAAAGAGTGAAATAAAAAAGGCGCCTCGAGGTCAGGAACGAGTCACAAGTCATTTTGATCGCAAGTCGTATAGATAACAAATCGTCGCCGTTGTTGTTGAAAATGTTTAACGGATTGAACACGACGTGTATTTGAAACCTATTGGTCGAAGAGTTGAAAAACATTCCAAAGAGAGGATAAAAATAAATACATCTGAGAAAAACCGCAAAGTTCCCGGAA